ACCTCAAGGACGTTCACGAAATGGGCCTGGGACATGGTGAGAAAGGTGATTATTTCCAAGTTTTCGCCACCATACTTCTGTATCGTTCCGAAAATGGAATATACAAGGCTTGCGCAAACGAAGCCTGCAAAAAGAAGGTAGCTGAAGGGAATGGAATGTATCATTGTGACAAATGTAAGCGAGAGTACCCCAACTTTAAGTATCTGTTATTGGGATCAGTATGGGCACTACATTATTCAATTTCATATATACTGATTTGTCAGTTCTAGGCCAATATTGCTGATTGGAGCGGAAATATCTGGCTCAGTTTGTTTTCTTCCGAAGCCGAGAAAGTATTAGGGGTGAGTTCGCAGGCTGTTGGTGAGGCAATTGAGAGAAATCCGCAAGCGTTAGCAGAGTTTGCAGATAAGGCACATTTGAAAGAGTTTCTTTTCAAATGTCGAACCAAGATGGATTATTTTAATGTAAGTATTATTATTCGCTTGCTACATATTGTTCTTATTTTTTTTTTAATTGTAGGATGAAAATCGTCTGAAGACTGTCGCCCTTAGAGTGGATCCGGTGAATTACAAAGAGTATAACTCTTACCTGATATCACAAATTAACGAGTTACTAAATTAAATGCGGGCACCCATTTTCATTTTGTGATCACGTTTGAAGTTAAAACTAAATTATTTAGTTGTGATTCAATTGGACAAATTCAAGTATTTATTTTTACAATCATCTGATTCCATTATTATTATATTATTAATACTTTTTATAGTTTATATTTTAAAATTGTTTACTAACGTTACTAAATATTAAAATAAATATTGCATACTGACCATTAAATAATTGGGGCTGGAGGAAGATAAAAGTAATAAAATCATCTGATCGTGCCAAAAATATCGGAGCAAGAAATACAAAAGAATTTTAAAAAAAGATAGGGTGCTATCTCGGGAATTGGTTTAAAGTTAATTCCAATCACAAATTATGGCCATCATCACGACGCAACGAATAATTGCGCATAGGGCACGCCCTTATATTGTGCACTCATTATGAGAAATGAATACCCTCGTCAATGTTGTGCATCATAAAAGCGCCATGCAAATTATTACCTCTTTAATTCAATGAATCAATGCTAAATGAAAAGAAATCATGATGCATTATGGCAAATATTGTTTTTTGATCTATGAACAAAAACGCTAAGAAACCGCATACAAATTTTAATAAGTGTAGATGTTTTCATTTTTAGGTGACCATATGGGAAAATGCCCATCCTTTCATTGTCTAAAAGGTGGAGGGGGGACGCTCCGTTCCTCTTCTAATGACGCTGCCTCTGGTGCCGGAAGCATTCCTCTCATGCAGCTCGTATCTTGCTAATGTAAAGGCGTGTGTAATACTCAAGTCTGTGGTTCCCAGAAACGGGATGCGCTATGCATCAAGAAATATAAATCTAGTAATTAGGACTGTGTCAACCTTGTCGACGAGGATTACTAATAAATCTTTAATAAATACAAATGTGTTCTGTATAATTCAAAATTTCAATTTGACAGCTACGTCGCGATTTTGGTCTAAATATGAGAAATCATCTACCATATCCGGTCTCATTTTTTCCATTCCATTGTGTTCCTTGGCCCCAAAACGTGGGGCTAGACCCTTGATCTGTAAAAATCGGGCATTTTAAACGAAGTTTTACACCAGAGTGATCCAAAAACCGCCATATTGGACGTCATCTTGAATATCTCGCGTCCAGCCGATTTTCAGACTTGGAAACAGGCAGAATCGGATGTGTCGAAATATGAGAAAATCGCTTGTAACTCCCTGCATCAAAGGACACCTAAAACCATTTTTAATGAAAACCTTTCTTCCATTCTGTATGAATCGCCCTGTACAAAATCGTTTAGGGACTTTTCGTATGTAACTAGTAACTAGTTTAAAGCATTATATATGGTTTAAAGTGATTGACCACTGACAGTTGATGGCTTTTTGCGCCAAAAATCTACAGTATTTCTACCGTTTTTGTTAATTGTGTAATTAGATTAAGTCAATTTGTGTTTAATCTTCTACAATGGCAGACAAATACCAATTAAGTGAAGGCAGCTTACGAGTAGGTGAAATTAGTTAATCTAATACTCATATTCTATAAAACTTCTTCTCAAGGTGATTATGAGTGGGGGCAAAGTTGAAGATGCTATAATGCAAGTGTTAGGCACTAAGCGAATTGCATCTGGTAGCTCCTCCGATAAAGAAAGGTACCGTCTACTTCTATCAGATGGCAAATACCTCATTTCTTTCGCAATGTTAACTACACAAAACAATGATAAGATTGTTAATGGTGAACTCTCCGACAATTCCATAATAAAAATCAAAAAGTACATCACCAGCGTTATTAACAATGTGGGAAAAGTGAACAAGTGAGTGTAGATTTTTGATTATAAGATTGTACCATTTAGGCGGGTAGACGTGTTTTAGTTATATTAGAAATGGAGACCCTAGTTCCTGGCCATAAGTCGAGTAAAATTGGTTCTCCAGAACAATTGCCGGAGGATGATAGCGAACCACTTCCCAGTGAGACTAAAAATAACACTGTCAGTTCGAGTACGTCATCTACTGTGCCACAAGTTAATGGTTCTCACAGAAACGACACTGACGTAAACATGTCCATGCAAGACCAGCTAACGCATCCCATTTCAAGCTTGAGCCCCTATCAGAATAAGTAAGTGCATTTATTGGGAATATCCGCAGTTAACATTGAACGATAGGTGGGTGATCAAGGCACGTGTCAGTAACAAATCCTCAATTCGCACATGGTCAAATTCCAGAGGGGAGGGTAAATTATTCAATATGGATTTAATAGACGAGAGCGGTGAAATTCGAGCAACAGCATTTCGCGATCTTGTGGATAAATTTTACGACTTAATCGAGGTAAGCTTTTGGGTATTCGGGTTTGTTCCAAAATTCGGAATTTTAGGTGGACAAAGTGTATTACATAAGCAAATGTCAACTGAAAATCGCCAATAAGCAATTTAGTAATCTCAATAACGACTACGAGATGACATTTACCCCCGACACAATCGTGCAGGAGTGCCATGATGTGGTGGATTCTATACCTCAAACCAGATACGACTTCATCTCGATTGATAAAATTGCACACATTGAAGTGGATACAATGATAGGTAAGGGTGGGGAAGCTCCCAATGTTTTGTCAATGGGCGAGGGGGAGGGGGAAACATATTTTTCAAATGAGACTCCTCCCTCTTTTTGTTAGGCGGATTTTGTTTTAAAACAAAGTATGTCATCTTGAATTCTTGTAACCTCTTTCTAATTTATGGCCATCTTGTGTAGACACCGAATTAATTTCAGATTGCATAGTATACTTCCAGTTATTACAAAATGTAATCTGTAAATTTTCTAAATCTGTGTATTATTTTCAATGTACAGGATCTGCCAAAAATATGTGATGTGTCCTGTAATTTTTTTGAATTTTACACTGGAATTAAGATTGAGTTGGAGAAACAGATTGGATGGTTTGCTTTTTCCTTTGGGAAAATCACTGTACCCTACACTACACACTGGTGTACACTACTAGCATTTCGTAGAATTTTTGTAGGAATTTTTTAGGATCTAATATTTTTTTACGTAGGTATTTTAGAATTTTCTAGAATTTTTTAGAATTCTCCAGAATTTTTTTAGAATTTTTTTAAATTTCTTTTTGAAGTTTGGATGTGGTCTTTTACAGAGATCAATTATAACAACTGTTAAAAAGTATGATTTAAAAAAAACTTGAAATGAATCATATTTTTTTATTTAATGGTGAGTTTATGTAACTGTGTAATTTAGTTTAACTTTAATTTATGTTTAAATTGTCACTGATTGATGACGTAAAGGAAGTGTTATAACGGAAGCTGAAGCGGAAACAGAAGACAAATTTTTTTGCGGGAGCAGAAAAGAGGAATTATAATATTAAATAAAATTATAAATTTGATAAAAATAAATAAAAAAAATTGCACTATTTACAATATGTTTGATCGCAGAAATTCATGATTGTTTATTCAAATTTTTTAAAAAACGCCATTTTTCAGTTTTTCCAATTTTTCTATTTTAAAAGATATTAAAATAATGTTTCATCTCCGAGACACGTCATCAACTTCAATTTTTTATAGAGCCACAAAAATAGAAACACTGTGGCCCCATGTTGGGCGCCAAAAATGAATGCTGTGTAATGGTATACGGTCAAAACACCACCCAACACACTTACCTAGCTAGCTCATCATGCACTATTTTTTTTAAATTTATCACAGTGCACGAGTGGGTTCTGACAAACAAGAATCCTAAGGTTTACTTATACTTAAAATTTTGAAAGATTCGAAGGCATCAATCAAATTCCATAAATTCCAACAAAAACGAATTTTGAAATAGATCAGATAAATACCATCTGCACAGAAAGAGCTTAAAGGAAAAATAAAATTCAAACTGGGATTCAAATTGACATTTCATTCATAAAAAGAGATGACACAAATTAATTCTTAACTGCGGAATTTAACGCAATAATGACATACGCTTTTCCAATCGACTCGAAAACAGCAGAGTTTATTTCTTAGTTTTTCTATTTAAAGGTGAAACTACATCCATTCATAAGTTACATATTGTTGTTCCTCGCCGTCGCTCGCTATTCCCACCGCATCGCCCGAACTCCAAACACCTGCATTCGTTATCTTGTACGTGGCGTTGTTAGCAAACAAGGCCGAGTGATTTTCTCAATGCCACCTTTTCAAAAATCTGACCTGATAAAACTTTTACCTTACGTCGAACTTATGATTAAATTATTTATGCGTTTTAAAATGCAACAAATACCATTAAATGACTTAAACAATTACTAAATTTACAATAAAAAAATGACAATGTAATAGATTTTCCAAGTGTGTGCCTATTTGAAAATAATTTCCCAGATATGAAATAAATTTAAACATTTTACATACAGGATGTCCCAATTGCTACAATACGTAAACCGGAATGACTTTGAAAGTGTGCGCAGATCTCAAGGTCAGAGTGGGCTCATACTACCGACCTTACTTACCTACTTTCGGAAGTTATTAAAAATTTTGTTCTAGATGTTATCGGAGTATGCAAAAGCGCGTCCGACGTCCAAATGTTTCAAGCGAGATCTACAGGGAGGGACTTAAAAAAACGCGAACTCACTTTGGTGGATCAAAGCAACAATTCCGTAAGAAATAAATGATATAATCGATCGAAGAATGCAAATTGGTTTTTGTAGATCGCCCTAACCCTTTGGGGTACAGAGGCGGAAACGTTCGACAGCGCCTCCCAACCGGTAATAGTCATTAAAGGCGCGAGAGTGTCTCAGTTCGGTGGCGGAAAAACGCTCTCCACGAATGCCTCTACAGTCATGAAAATTAATCCGGACATTCCGGAAGCGCATCGTCTCCGAGGCTGGTTCGACAATGAAGGTATATCCAAGACTACGGTCAATATTAGCGCCAGGTAAGCGATTTATATTCTTGCTAAGCTTTTGGTAATGGTGAAGCATAGGTCGGAGGGCGGCGGGTCACAAACTCAATGGATTAACGTTAAGGACGTTCAGGAAATGGGCATGGGACAGGGTGACAAGGGCGATTATTTCCAAGTTGTGGGCACCATACTTCTGTACCGTTCCGAAAACGGAATATACAAGGCCTGTCCAAAAGAAGATTGCAAGAAGAAGGCAGCCGATCAAGGGAATGGAATGTACCGATGCGACAAATGTAATCGAGAGTACCCCAACTTTAAGTATCTGTTACTGGGATCAGTATGGGAACCACATTATTCGTTTTGCTAGGTACTGAATTCAGTGTTTCTAGGCCAATATTGCCGATTGGAGTGGAAATATCTGGCTCAGTTTGTTTTCTTCGGAAGCAGAGAAAGTGTTGGGCATGAGTTCTCAGGCTGTTGGTGAAGCAATTGAGAATGACTCGCAGGCGTTAGTTGAGATTGCGGACAAGGCGCACTTTAAGGAGTTTATCTTTAAGTGTCGCTCTAAGATGGAAAATTACAATGTAGCTATCGTTTACGTGTGATATAACCTTTCTCTAATTTGTGTTTGTTTGAAGGATGAAAATCGTCTGAAGACTGTGGCTCTTAGAGTGGAACCGGTGAATTTCAAAGAGTACAACTCTTATCTAATCTCACAAATAAACCAGTTACTGAATTAAATGCGGGTATTTGATTGCAAGTGTTGTATATGTTTTAAGTTATTCTCTGTATAATTTAGTTTGTTTCATATGGGAATCTTACTCTGTTTATACTAATGTTATAGTTTTGCATTGCCTTTAAATACAAAAGTTTGATATCAGAAATTTTTGCAGTGTGACCGTTACAATTTTGAACCTTAGCATATCACTATATCGTAGCATAACATCTTGTCAAACAATGACGCTCTTAAATTGCAGATGGCGCGCTTCTAGTGGACTATTATGTGTACTACTGACTACTGTCCATACGTCACTACAGCTGTATCAGATCTAGAGCTATTGCTCTTTTTTCGCGATTTGGTTCATTATATGGTGCTGAGACTTAATATTGGATTGCGCATATGTAGACCCAAACTTTCACAATATGTAGACGGACTTTTTTTTGATATTTTTAAAGATGCATTTTTTATTATTTCTATGTACTTTAACATTCTTCTGAAATTTCAGCAGAAGATACTTCTTATTCTTATTAATGAAATTTATCATTAATATCAATAAGTTAATAACAAGCAACCACCATCGACATATAATAAGTATATGGTAACCACTATAATGTTAAACCATTGAATAAATATTCAGATTCTTTATTCAATGGTTAAACCTAAGAACGGTTCCGGTTCCAACCCTAGCTTGCTATGTACCTACACAAATTGCATGTATTTTCACAAAACAATTTTTAAATCAAACACTCTGCTTGCCCAAATTATACAAGGCTAAATTACTGCACACCTAAACACACGTGACACAATTTAAAACCTTAAATCTAAAATTATACCTCCAATGCTACCTAAATTATCTAACCGAAAGAAGTTTAATGTTAATCAAGACTGGCATATAAACATAAAACATTACTTGGACAACTTACAACCATAATCAATGCTACTACAAAAAGTGCAAATGGGCAACGGTGTGGGCAGTTTGCCGGGTGAACAGACACCTGTTTCTGACATTAGGTGGCAAAAAACAAAAATAACATAACCTTGTTTTTGTTTGTTTAATTGTTTAGAAATCTTTTTTAAAACACCAACTTAAATTAAATGTCTTTTTTATTAAAAACCGTTACAAATACGCTTATGCGAAGTAATTTCAGAAGTGTCCTAAATAAAAATATAAAATGCACATATTTACTATTTGACACTACTTTTACCAAGAACGAGAATCAAAAATCGACCAACAACAGCCTTATGTATGGGGTGGCCATTGCGTCAACATGGATAGCATACAAACTCTTCAAAAGTGGAAACATAGTACCAACTGTTGAGGCGAGTACTGACCGAAGGAATCAGTATAATTTCATAGCTGATGTTGTAGAAACTTGTTCCGAAGCTGTCGTTTACATTGAAATTAAAGATGCCAGAAGGGTGGATTTCTTTACAGGAAAACCTATGACAATTTCGAACGGTTCCGGATTTATAATTAAATCGGACGGGTTAATTGTTACGAACGCACATGTAGTTACTAACAAACCACAAGCGAAGGTGGAAGTACGCCTATCTAACGGTACCGTTTACCACGGTATGGTTGAAGATATCGATTTGCGCAGCGATTTAGCTACAGTACGTATCCAAGCAAAGAATTTACCCATAATGAAATTGGGCGACTCTGGACTCTTACGACCTGGTGAATTTGTGGTCGCGATCGGTAGTCCCTTGTCTCTAAGTAACACTGTTACTTCTGGAGTGGTGAGTCTTTATAAGTCGCTATTAAGAGATACTAACTTAGACTAGATAAGTTCCACCCAGAGAGGTTCTGCCGAATTAGGATTGCGAGACAAAAACATGGTTTATATACAAACAGATGCTGCAATTACGTTCGGAAATTCGGGTGGACCGCTTGTTAATCTCAACGGTGAAGCTATAGGTGTCAACAGTATGAAAGTGACGTCTGGTATATCATTTGCAATACCGATAAATTATGTGAAAGACTTCCTAAAAACAGTACGTTCAAATCAAACATCACAAACAGAGAATGTAAAACGAAAGTATATGGGAATCACTATGCTAACGTTAACGGATCAAATTATTTACGAGCTGCATCAACGTGATCAATTCATTCCCCCAAGTATCACGCATGGGGTTTTGGTTTGGAAAGTTATCGTAGGATCGCCAGCACATAGGTAAAATATCCATTTTGGTAATCGAAATGAACATATGATTTCAGTGGTGGACTGCAACCAGGAGATATCGTCACTGATATTAATAGTGAGCCTATTAAAAGTGCCAATGACGTCTATGCCATTCTTGCTAAAGAAAAATCTGCGAAATTAAACATGACAGTGGTTAGATCTGGAAAATCTCTTAATATTTCTATTACTCCAGAAGATGTTAACTAACAATAAAAATTGTTTGAAGTAATGCTATTTTTTTCGACGAGTTTTAACTTCAGTCCACTCGGAGTCCTGTTCCATTGGTGTTGCTTGGGTCTCGGCTACTGGCGATTGTGAGGTTGAAGGTGCCTACAATTTCAAATTACTTTTGGCATCGTTAACACATCACTTACATGTGCCGGAGCCTGTGCCTGAGTAGAAAACCACACCTTGCACGTTGGTAAATCTCGATATTCCTGTTCGCATTGAGCCAAATTACCTTCTTTCAAAAGCAGTAGAAAACGATGGAGCAGATTAGCAATCTCCATTGGTGAATTGTCTTCGCATATTGTGTCAAATTCTTCGTCCATTATATCTTCGAGAGCCTCTCGAATATCGCTTACTTGTATATTGGGCTCACTTAAACAGAATTGAGTGATATAGTCGACGCATTGAGTGACAACCTAAAAAGTAGATGTAGAGTAATTGCAACGAAAATCGGTGATCGTACCTCACGACTGTTGGGGCCTCCCATATCATGTTCCACAGCAAGTCGTAGCGCAGACCAATTATTAAATATTTGTTCGACAATTACACGATATTGAATATCCATTTTTGTGATTAATTTATTGTTTTGTTAAAAAATGTGTAAAATTGTGAGGTTAACTGCATTTAGTTAGGAAAACAAAATCACTAAAAGAAAAATCAGCGAACCTCAACCGGTTTCTGGATTTTTATTCTATATTTTAATAGGGGCACATCCTCTTTCAAATATTTTCGTTGGAGTTTATCGATCAGCAATTACATACATTACCCCTTATAAATAAATAAAATTTATATCCTGGAGAACGTGATCAGAGTGTGACCGAATGCAGCCCATGTAATGTTTTGTTTTGATTACCACAGTTTGAACCTCATCTCATCTGTCAACATTTTTTAATGTTTGTAGACTTTAAACATGTTTGATTTTGGAGATACGTTGGCTCTTATATTGGGCCTTACAATAAGCCTAATTGGAATATTGGCCTGTTTGGGATCGTATGCCAGAAAACATGCTGTTACAGAACGATTGTGATGGTAAGATTTATTACTCAATCTTTGCATATCATTCCGATTTTTATTTTCAGGATTTTATCATCAACTGATGAGAATGGTGCAACTTATTACTTTATAAAGATATTTTATAATAAACATATTAATTTTTTGCTGTTTTTTGTTCTGGTTGATCTGTACCTCCAATATTATTGTACATTATCGTTGCTTTTCTTCTTGTCCACCGCGTAAAACTCAGTGAACTAGTAGGTCTTATAGTATGTAAGCAGTGAGCACCTAGTCTTCGACTTATATTGTCTGGCATGAATTCGTTCTTTGAGAAATGTTTGTATGTATACACTGTAAATAGTCTTAGTTCGATCAACCTTGACAATTTCAAACAAGTCATGATGTTTGGCTCTTTTGGAATAACTGGCAAACAATTACAGTAAAAATGACAACTTATGACTTGGTGTCCATTATTTATATCTGTACAAGAGCTCATATTGTCATTAGTGAGCAGTAGCAATTGCCATTGATATTACAATGGCAATAGCTACTGCTCACTAATGAGATTAATAGGTACCTACTGCTTACCTATTAGAAAATGTAGTAGTAATAAATTGGCCTGCGAACCCAAGTTCTAGATTTGTATAGACTTTTTCCTGAGAATGTTTCCGGGAATATATTTCTTAGGAAACTTATCTAAGAATATTTCAAAAAAGACCTTTAAAGGAACTTTCATAAGAGAGATTGAGGATATGTGCTTCTTGCAATTTACCCACACCTTGTTTGTTAAAGAAATAGGTATACGACTTGTTTAATAAATAGATACAAATCATTGCTGTTAAGTAAATAATACTTACTGTTGGCACGCTAGTGTGGTGTTTTCTTCTGGGGTTTTTCAGCATTCCTATGTGCAGTTTACATGTGCCGGTCCATTTTTCCCCAAAAATTGCTTTTTTGTACTAAGTCACATAAGTTTTGATTTTTAGTATTGTTTGCTGATAAACAACAGAGATAGCGAATTTTAAACAGTAGGTACTAATTCAAAGGGCTAGCTAGTAGCCCTATCTTGGAACTGTTTGAAATTATGGATTCTACAGGCCACATTCTATAAGAAAATGTTTTTTTCCGGACGATCTGAGACAATTTTTTCTTCGGGGCTCAAAAAAAGGCAGTGTATAACCTACCTTTTTTACCAAAAATCGACTACACCAAAATTTCTCGGGACAACACTTTTTCTTATTAATTTTGGTGCGTAGAATCCAAAACAATTCGTAGGTACTTTTTCGATTAGACTTCTCAATCAAAAGTTATAGACTAGAAACCAATTTCGAAAGAAAATTCAAAGGGCTGTAACTTTTGAACTAGTAGCCCAATCTTGGAACTGTTTTGAAATTATGGATTCTACAGGCCACATTCTATAAGAAANCCTCCGTGGATGGCATACGTATTAAGCATGTTTTCTTTTCCAGAATCCCCCTCAACTTTTCCACGTTTAACTTCCCGCCATCCCATGTGTCCTCCTGTTGGTTGTTGGGATTTTTACAAACAGGATGGCGTAGAAAATATGCATCATTTTTCGGTTACCACCATCAACGTTAGCCTTAAGAAATTTTGTAGAGCATGAAAAACTTGCTACAACTTTGGTAGGTATTTAAAATTTTCTTTTATCTCTACCATCAATATATAAAGTCGCAAAGATGCGTGCAAGTTTGCAAAAACAACTAAAATGAACCGTTTGGTTTTTACCACCCGCACGTTAGTAAGGGAGGTATTGCATTGGGTAAAGGAAAGCACTTTTGACGTCAAATTGAATCATTTTGAGTCGTTCACGTGCACATACACTCTACAGAGATCGCACTGAGTCTCATCTCATTGTAGAGCCGAAGGTTTCAGTGAAATTAATCACTTCACGTTGCAAGATAGCCCTTGGTTACAACACACGCCTTGTAAGGCTCCACTGAACTATCAGCATTATACTTGACCTTGTAGACCCATCGACAGTCAATCATCTTCTTATCAGTCGGCCTAGGCTAGGAATTAAGTTCCAAATGTGATTTTCATTGCCACTTTGCAATTTTTGGCTTTAAAAACTTCTAATGGCTTTGCTGTACGTAACTTAGACGGTTCATTAGATATCATGGTGTAGCATTCTCAGGTTCCACTGACTGCATAGAAATTCAACTTCCTCGGTATCGGAGTTTCTACTCTTGGTTTCCTCCGTTTGCCTCGAATGAGTTCTGGTATCAACAAGCTTGACCTTGGTTCCAAAGACCCTACTGAAGGTAGAGGCTCCGCTGCTTATTGTTCTGTATGCAGTACCATAGAGTAAATAATATACTCTATGGCAGTACCCAACCAAGATATCTTAGACGACCTTCTTGTCCAACTTAGTCAACTTCTTCGTAAACAGTCTTCTGAAAGACGCCTAAGTTTATGCAACCAAAATCACTTCTTGAAACAAATAAAGATCTGGCTGTCATATTAATTATTAATTGGAATATTGTTGCTTTGGCTTCACAGAAAATAAATCTTTTAAGCTCCTTTAACTGTTACCAGCCCTATCCCAATTGGAAATAACTTTTTCTTTAGTGGAATATACCGCACACGAATAGAACGAAAATTAGAATACGGAAGTCAAAGTGATAATATTCATATTAATTAATATGACAGGCAGATCTTCATTTGCTGTAGGTAGCGATTTTGGTTGCATAAAGTTAGGTGTCCTTCAGAAGACTTTTTATCATTTAAAAGTAGGAAATTCCTATAGGAAATCCTTATGTCTACTTCTACATGTATATTCATATGATTCAGGATGCGCGCGCGAATATTCATATGATTTAGCCTACGGGTATTAAAAAGTTAAAACTGTCTTTGCTTCCACTTCGAATATCCCAAAGTTCATTTTTAAGTTTTCATTTATTCCATACATGCTAATATGTATATTTTGCAAATCTACACCCTAAAAAGGGATTCTTTCGAAAAAGATTTCTACTAAGGAGCTCTTGCAGTACCCAATGTTTAGGCGAATTCCTGAGAAGCTTTCACGAAGATTGCCAGAAGCGTAGAAGATCTTGATTTCTAAGAACTCTTAAAGAATCTCTAAGAAGGTTTCACAAGGGGTTTCTAATGCTTCTAATAGGAAGCCTTATATGGAGGATTTGAAAATGATCTTTAGAACAGTTTCTGACATGAGTTGATAAAAGCAAGATTATTAAGGATCAGGTTACGATTCCTTTATTATCTTTCTAATAAAAAATGCGTTTATTTATTGTGAAGTTTTCTTAAGAGTATGTCTAGTAAAATTGCTAGGACGAATTCCGACAAGGATTTAATAAAATTGTTAGAATGACTTCTAGGAGTCGATAAGAAGCATCGAATCTCAGGTGGCTGGATATTCTACTTAATTTGTGGACCTTTAGTTTTGTGGTTCCTTACTTTTCTTTTGTAAATCCAAATCCATTTTCCCAGGAAAGCTGAAGACCATAATGACAAGCAAGTTGTCATATTCTACTATCACTGCAGAGACATGGTTGAAAAGTTGCTCTGTCACTTTTTTAATTAATACAGTCAGCTATATCACATTCTTATTTTTAAACTTCATATCTCTACAGAAAGCAAATAGAATATCATTGTATTGGAGGAAATGTACATTACAAGTGTTTTAGATAGTCATTACATTAGCGGATTATACACAATTGTCCAAAATTTGGTTTTAGCAGCTGAAAGGAAAATGGTAGATTTTGCACCATTCGCGTCGTCGTATACCTACGTTGGAAGGAGGGACAAAAAGGGCAATTAGGCCAATTAGTCTACTGAAAAACTCTTACTCTTACTTTTATCAAAAGGTAGAGACGTAATTCGGTATCAGTCTAATCACCTTATCATCCATGATGATGGGAATTGAGCTCGATTTGGTGGAATTTTACCGATTAAACTATCGTTCAATTGTTCACATTGTAGTGGCTTATCTGAAGTACCACAGATTACCTACCTAAGATGTATACCTATTTAAATACATCCACCTCATTTTTCGGTCTCCTATTCACGCAAAATGTTGCCAAAAAGTGTTGCCTTACTTGTTATTAGCTGTGGAATACTGGTGTTGGCGGGCGAAAAAACAAAAGTGACCAAATGTGAGTATTATCGGTAAATGGAACTGAAACTAATCATTTTTTTAAGGTACAAACGGAGCGCAGCTGCCCATTGAGGTTAACATCCCGGGATGTTCTACGCCCCCATGCGCCATTAAGTTGGGTGAATCCATCAGTGCCTATGTCAATTTCACTGCTCGTATTAATACTTGACTCGAAAGTTACACGATAGATCGTTAATCGTATGATTTTAGCGTTGCACACGTACGCGCTCAAGGCGAAAGCAATTGCGACAACATCCATTATTCCATTTCCAGTTGACTATCCGCTGCCTCAGCCAAATGCCTGCAAAGCGCTCACTAACACACACTGTCCTTTAGAAATCAACGAACCGGCCCAATATAAACTTGAGATGCCGATCAGTGACAAATTTCCAAGTGTAAGTGTATAGCAACACCAACAATGGAGTCCCTTAATTGAAAGTTCCGCAATTTTCAGCTTGATTTTCTCTTGAGAATTTACTTGGAAGCAAATGACGAGAAGGATAATAT